TCCATGCTGGCGCTTGAAAATGCTACGTCAGATTTCAGCAGGATGAATTTTTGCAACTCTGTAGCCAGGCTGTCGTCTTCTTTGACGGCGTTGAAGTAGCGACGCTGGCCACTCTTGGTGGAATGATGTTGCGGATTAATTAAAAAGTTGGACCAGGTGGGATTGGTTGTAAGAGCATCTGGGCTGAGTCTTTCAAATGTTATCGAATCCTTCGGACCATCTTCTTTCAACACGTCTGAACATTTATGTGTCGTGTGTGTGTGTGTGTGTGTGTGTGTGTGTGTGTGTGTGTGTGTGGCAATAAAATCTAAAAGTTTATTTTCTAAATATTGAACAAAAATAAAACAAAACCCTCAATAATTTCAATGTCTGTATTGAGCATGTTGTTGATGATCTTGGTGCGAATGAAGAGAAGCAAGCATGCGATGGACGGTATCACAAATGATATCGCTATCATCATCGCCATTATAACCGATACTCGTTTGTCGGTAGAGTCGGTCTGTAGAATATTTTTCGATTCTTCAATATCGGTATATTTGCAGGGAATGACCGCTTTGAATTTGGGTACATTGTCGGTTGGTTTATCGAATTCGATGTGGCAAAGAATGTCCAATAAAGTATTCGATTGATGGTCTTTAGTCGAGTGTTCATTGGCATTGTCGTAAACAACCCCATGCGTTTCGTAGCTGTTGCTAGGTTGATGGTGGGTGTCTGCTTTAATGTCGCTTGAGTCGTTGTTGTTTGGCGGCATGTATTTATACACGTCGTCACCAACGTTGTATTTTGTTGTGGCTGATGTTGTTGCGGTTGACTGCCCTCTTGTCGAAGACAGTCGCTGGCTTCCTAACTGGTGATTGCGATTGGTTGGTTGATTATGGTCGATTAGTTAATTAGTTTTAAAAATTATTTTGCCAAACAAAAAAGCCAAATCAATTCTAAAACTAAATAATTCATTAATGAAATAAAAAAACAACCTGCTTGCCCGTAACGTCAATCCTATAATTACTCTCAGCTCGACCGCCCCTCGTATTATCGATTTTGTCACCGACTATAAACTCGTCGATAACGGAAAACGAAATGGCCGGTTCGTACCTACCCGAGTATTTAAACTCGCACCTCGATACGATAAATTCTTTGGCATCCATCTCGTGAAATGTGTTGTGACAGATAGGATTACTCATCAGTACCGTTATTTCGGCTTTGAAAATTATTTTTATAGGTTCTTCCGGTTTCCCAGCTGCGCCGTATTCATTATTTTCAAACTCGTCGCCACTATTCAGTCGAATGTGATAGAAATCTGAATTGCTGTCTGCATTACTGTCACAGTTGTTGTTTTTGTTGTTCAGGTTTTTGTTTTTCTCGACAGTATTTGATTCATCTTCGTTGTAGTTGTTGACGTCATCGTCGTCGTCGTCGTCGTCGTTGTTGTTACTGCTGTAGTAGCCATCATGAAGGGACATGACGCATTTGTACGTGCCAGCCAATGATCTGCGTGCGTCTAATGAATCTGTTTTATGATTGGTTGGTCGGTTGGTTGGTTGGTTGGTTGGTAGGTTGGTAGGTCGGTTTGCTGGTTGGCTGGCTGATTTGCTGAAAATTATTATTTTACAATTAGTACTAACAACTTAATTACTATCACGATCGTCATCATCATCGTCATCATTAATATCATTATCATCGTCATCATCGTCATCAACATCAACAAAAGCTACTAGCCGTCAACCAGCTTATCAAATCTCTTAAATTCTTTCACGGCCATCTTCAGATCATAAACTCCTAGTTTGTATCCGCTTACGCTGAATGTGACGTCATTTCCTCCAACTTGGTCCTCGTTTTGCAAGACTCCGTCGCTCCAAATTACATGATCCGTTTCCGTTTCAGGGTCTTCCATCACCCACTGAACGTTCATGTGCATTTTTCGTGTTGTGCCGCTGTGGGGAGTTCCACGCGATATGACGTCATCGAGATGGTTTCGTTCGTGAAATTTTGAATTTTTATGTAGGAATGTGGAACATTTGAGCAAGTATTCGGACTCGTTGAAAGAATCGATTACAAAACTTTGAGGCTTCGATTGCCGATACTCCGTCCAATCGTATGAAAGATTGAAGTTGCTCCAGTTGATACCGAATACACCGTAGTTCAGCAGGTAGCTATGAATTAGTTTCCAGGATTTCAGATTGACAGACATGGTGAGGTCGTAGCAGCCGATGAAGTAGAGGGAGTTCAGGTGCCACCTTCTGATGACGGCCACGCAACTGTTGCTGTTTAAAAAATCCAGAAACACAAAATTTACAAACTTTTTACTCAGACTGGCACTTGAATAAGTGACTCTCAACGATTTTGTAGCGTTTGTTTTAAACTTGAGGAGCCACAACTTTTCAACCAACCTGCTGTTGTTCATGACGAAATCATTTTTGTGTATCAGGAGGTCAGTTGCTCTCGAGTCGTTTTCAGACGAATCATAAAATTGATCCGACGATTCGTACTTCACTTCTTTCATGGTTTCGTTGAAAAAAATCAATATTGGTTTGTAGATTTTCTTCAACATGTTCAGTTTGACGAAGTTGAGTTGTTTCACTGCAGGCTGGAAGGTTGCACTGATGTCCCTGGTAATGTTGGCGACATCGCTGGCCAGTTTGTTGAGCAAGTACGGAGACAGTTGCATGATGCGTGACTTCACTAACCCTTGCCTCGGCTGCTTCAGAGATCCTTCCCTCAACTTGTGCATTGTGACCATGTGCAACCAGGTCGATATTTCATCGAATCTGTCTAGAGAATCGTAGAACTCTCTCCTGGCTTCGAATAGAATGATAGCTTCGTTAGTGGTCGTTATGTCGATGGCGTGTCGGTGTTTGCATGTGATGTTCATGTGGATGAACTTGGAGCAGTCGAGTTGCGAATGAGCAAATTTCGAGTTTAAATTTATTTTTTCTTTGGTTTCGAATTTATTGACGGGGATAGACTGATCGGAAAGTATCTCTGCCTGAGACTGCCTGTCACTTCCATTCTCAACATTTTTTTTCAAATCAGTTTCATTCTGTTGAACTGGAAAGAAACTTTTGTAGAACATCTCCTTGGTCGTCCAGTCATCGCATGGGATTGGTTTCAACGGGTCTTGCGTCAGATGGCAGTAATGTTCTCTAAAATATCCGACCAGTTGAGATGCGAAACTTTCGCTGCTAGCCTCACACGTGTAGTGCATGAACTGTTCGTCGTCGGTCGATTCGCAGAACATCTCTAGCGAGTATCCACTCAAACTCAACATGGAAAAATAACCGCTGTTCGTTTTGATTAAATCATCGGAGATGCATAGAACAGAAACGTCGGCTGTCAGCTGCCTATTAAGTTTGGTGCTGGATTTTCGCATGTCCTTAGCACTGCAACTCAAATCATTCAGACCGACGTAGGAGCAGTAGAACCCTGATACGATGCGAGGATTCAAGTGCTGCGTGTGAATAGGGATGTAACGGTGAATAGTTTTACCGTCCGGATAGCCGAGACTCAAACAAATTGTCTGAGACTTCAAACTGTCCCAATGGTCATCCATGAGTCGATACCATTCATCATTACCTGAGGCGACGATGATGATGATGATGATGATGATGATGGTGTTGTTGTTGATGATGATGATGATGATGATGATGATGGTGTTGTTGTTGATGATGATGATGATGATGATGGTGTTGTTGTTGATGATGATGATGATGATGATGATGATGGTGTTGTTGTTGATGATGATGATGATGATGATGATGTTGTTGATGATGATGATGATGATGATGATGTTGTTGTTGATGATGATGATGATGATGATGATGTTGTTGATGATGATGATGATGATGATGATGTTGTTGTTGATGATGATGATGATGATGATGATGATGATGATGATGGTTATCCAGATAAAAAAATGTTTCATTTTTGACTTTTTATTATTGAAGGACGAAGTAAAAACACAACTACTACCATCACAACCGTCATCATCATCATCAAAATCATCATCATCATCATCTCAATCATCATTACAATAATCATCGTCATCACCATCATCATTATCATCACAATCATCATCACAAACCTAGCAACTCGACTCTCCCAGCGAATTCAGTGCCATCTCGAAGCCTGGCTCTCGTGTGGACATTCCAAAAAACTTTGTGAAGAATTTCATCATCATCATCATCTAGTTTACCCTCACTACCACCATCATTGCCAATGTCGCCAGCATCACCCTTATTGGTACTAGAACCTCCAAAATCTTCTAATAAACCATCGTCGTTAGATACATCATAACCACCATCACCATGGAGCAAAAATTTTTTTAAAATATTATAAGTAGTAGTAGTAGAAGTAGCAGCAGCAGTAGTGTTAGTAGTAGTAGTGGTAGTAGTAGCAATAGTAGTATCAGCAGCAGTAGTAGTAGTACTAGCAGCAGCAGTAGTAGTATCAGCAGCAGTAGTAGTAGTACTAGCAGTAGCAGTAGCAGCAGTAGTAGTAGTAGCAGCAGTAGTAGTAGTAGCAGTAGTAGTAGCAGTAACAGTAGTAGTAGTAGCAGCAGTAGTAGTAGTAGCAGCAACAGTAGTAGTAGTAGCATCATTCGCGATTGCATGACAAGAATTGAATGATAGTAAAAATATAATTATCATCATTATAAAGTATGGACAAAAAGTTATTAATGATGATGATGATGACGATGATGATGATGATGACGATGATGATGATGAAAGCAATGATTTAATAAACATATTAATGACAAAAATTTAAAAAATAATAAAATTTATTATTAAGTAATTATTATTATTAATATTTTATCAATTAAATATAATTATTTTATTATTATTCATAATTTTTCTATAAATATTATTATTTATTTACATATTTAGTTTGCACTGTTTTCCATAGTTACAATAAAAAAAACATTAAAACATGATAAAAAAAAATAAAATAACATCCTAACAAATACACACACACATACAAACACACATACAAACACACATACAAAC